CACCCTCCCGACCATCCTCATAGCCTCCTCCTCCTCCTCACCACCATAACCATCATCACCATCATAACCATCATTGTCATCATCGCCACCACCACTCTCATCACCATCGTCACCATCACCATCATCATCACCATCACCACCATCATCACACCCATCACCATCACCATCATCACACCCATCACCACCACCACCACCTTCCCAACCATCATCGCATCCTCCTCCTCCTCACCACCATAACCATCATCGTCAGTATTATCATCACCCTTATCCCTTCTCGCATCATCATTTTCATGTCCACCATCCTAACCATCGCCACCACCATCATTCTTATCACCACCACCACCATCGTACTCCTCACCACCATCACTATCAGTATCATCACCACTATGATCCCCATTGCTGCTATGATCCCCACCGTCACTGTCATTTCATCGTCATCACAATCACCACCCTCGTCATCATCATAATCACCATCATCACTATCACTATAATCATCACCATCTGCATAGCAATCATGGTCATGACCACAACCATCAGCATCATCGCAACCATTACTGCCACTATCATCATCACCTCACCACCACCATGATCATGATCACCACCATCATTGCCATCAAACCATCACCATCAACACCATGCTCATCCTCCTCACCACCCTCCTCGTCATCACAACCACTGTCCTCATCGTCAACACTGTCAGCACCATCATCGGCACTGTTGCCACAATCATCACCACCACCATTATCAATGTTGTCATCTTGGTCAACATAATCACCATCACTGTCACTGCCATGCAATGTCTCCTCTTAACATCTGCCCACACCGGCCTCTCTGCCCACCAAGGTCTACTTGCCAGAATCCCCCTCCCCTTCAGCTCAGACCCCCTGCAAACCAGCAGGGACGTTGCCCTCCGCTGTGCAGGTGACCTGCTCCCTGGAGCCCCAGCGGTTGCTGTGTGAGCATGACTGTGGGGTTCGGGTCACCTGCCACTTGGGATCCGATGGCAGTGCACACCCAACAGCAGGGCCGCAGGGGATGGTCTACCGCCAGGAAAGTCTGTCAGCTCCTCTGGGGCCATGGGAGGCCTGACCACTCCTGCTGTCATGCTGGCCTTGACGGGGCCGCCGGGGAAAGGTTCTGAGGCCTGCTTGCTTCTGCGAGAGGACGTGGTGTGATACAGATGGACCCATGTGGAAGCCCAGAAGTGCTGGAACCACGGTAGCCAGAGGCATTTATAGGAAACCATATCCACCCCTGTCCCATAAGAGCCCAGGTGCTTCCTGGCTGGGGGCAGGGCTGGAATGGGGCTGGCCGGGGAGTTTTTGAAAGACCGACTTATGGTTGAAAAGGAGTGAACGGAGTCAGGGCTGCCTGCTGGGCTGTTAACCACAAGGTCAGCAGTTCAAAACCACCAGCTGCTCCAAAGGAGAACGACAGGGCTGTCTACCCCCACAAACACTGACCGTCTGGGAAACTCACAGGGGCAGGTCTACCTGTCCTAGAAGGTTGTTGTGAGTCATTGGCCGTGAGCGTGGTTTTATTTCTGTTTTGTTCTAGACGGGCCAAGCCAACCTGCCTTCGAGTGAAGGCTGAGGGTGTCTGAGGGTTAGTTAGCTCCAAGCACCACTGTGACTCCGGGTGTGGGATTGTGCCCTGTCCACCCCATCCCCACCCCCCAGCGTGCCCTCCCATCAGAAGCTGGAAGACCAGGCCTCACTGTGTGCAGCGGGGAGAGGGGAGTCACCCATGTCACTAGAGCCCTGTTTCTGTCTTGGGTGGGAGGGGCACTTCACATCGACGGGGCACCTGGTGGCACTGCCGGGGTCGCATGGGGCTGCAAGGCTGGCAGCTCAAACTCACCAGGCGTCTACGGGAGAAGGAGGAGGCTGTCTGCCCCTGTAAAGGCTGACAGCCTAAGAACAGACGGCCTGGCCGGGGTTTGGGTTTTACTGTTTGCCAGGCCCAGGGGTGGGGGCTGAGCTCCAGTCAGGCCCACAGCCTTGGAGAGCTCAGGAGGCAACGCCCAGGCCCAGTACCCTCGCTGCCCCAGCTCAGGTGTGCTCCCTGCAGAAAATCCCTGCCCACCTGGGGAGACTGTGGGGCTGGAGGCAGGCTGAGCTGCTGAGCAGGACCCCACCCCCCACCCACCTCCACACACAGCTTGATGGGGTTCGGCATTCACCTTCCTGGGATGAAACATTCCCGCCCGAGCTGACTGAGGGCCCCCACGTGCGTGAGACGCTTACAGCGTGGGTCTGGGTGCTGGGCCCCCTGCCCTTGTGGCTGGAGAGATGGGCCCCTGCCCGCCCCACTGACCTTCGTGGATGTGGCCGAAGACGTGCAACCGCGGCTGGACGCGCCGTTGCACCGTGTTGAGTAGCTCCACGCAGCCCACGCGCTGCATCTTCTTGGGGACCCAGTCCAGGAAGCCTGCAAAGGGGACACACCGTCAGAGACCCTGGCCCGCTGCCCACGCCGGCCACCACTGCTCCCACCCTGAGCTCCCTCCCCAGGGCTCAATCCCGGATCAGCCTGTGTGGTGGGGGAGGGACCCCTGGATCTGCCTCTCCTCGTGTCCCCTGCAGGGAGCAGTGACCACTCACCCACTCACAGCCCGGACCCCTGCCTCCAGAGTCGCTGTGGACACCCACTCAGCGCAGGTGGGTGGGGCAGCAGAACGCCAAGCTCCAAGCGACCTCTTAGTTGCCACGGACCCGTTGCAGAGAAAGGCAAACGGAAGCTTCCTGAATGACCCCCGCCCCTTGCCCCCCACACACAACCAGGATGTGAGCGTCTGGATCAGCTGCACCCCAGCCTCGAGGCGGAAGGGGAGAGTGAGGAGGCTAGTGGGTGGGAAGCCGCCTTGGGCTAGAGAGCCCATCAAATTCCAGGCTCTGTGATCTTGGACAAGTCCCTTAACCTCTCTGTGCCCCCGCTTTCTCCCTGGCACCTGGAATCCCACAGCCTGACAACAAACATTTTTCTTCACATCTTGGTCTGTAGGCCTGTGCCCAGAGCGATCTGGAGCTCCGATTCAGAAAACCGCATTGAATAGAACGCGGCAGCTCTGCCGTCTTACCCAGGCTGTTCCGCTGTTTCCTGCTACAACGTTGTACTGCCTTGTTCAGGTGCCACCCTCGCTTTAAACGCGAGGAGAGAGCAGACTCGTGAGGTGCAGAGTAGGGCCAAAAAGGCAAGAGAGATTTGGAAAAGAACTCGGTGTTAAGAGACTTCTAAGGGAGCTGTCTGCATATGGACCCGGGGCTGGTCGGTTATGCCAACTGCCAATCATAAGGTCAGTGGTTCGAACCCACCGGTCACTCTGCAGACTTTAGCGGATTAAAGGTTGGGAAACCCACAGGGGCAGCTCCTCTCTCTGTGCAGTTGCTGTCACCATGAGCTGGCATCCATTAGAGGTCAGCGGGGTTGTCCCTTACTAGAGGAGGCTGTGTGACTAGACAGAGACCATACGCGGAAAGCCAGAACACCACTGAGAAGAGGAATGGAGCCTGAGGAAGAAAACAAAAAAGGCACATCGCCGGGAGGGGTGGGGGCGAGACCTCCCAGCTACCGTCATGAGTATCTTGAAGGCCTGAATTCTCCTTCATCAAATGATGCAGCAAACACTTCAGCACACGTTTGACTATGTAGAAGGCCCTGGGTAAGGCGTGTTCAATGTTTCAGAAGGAGGTTGACACCGAGCGTCTTTGTAAGAAAAAGTCCAACTTTTACACGTTTCTGTGCACAGGTGAAGAAGTGGGGCCATCTTCCAACATGACCGACCCCTCTTAACTTTAACAAAGGAGTTTGTCCTCTGATTGACCCAGTTGGGGTTTCAGAACATATGACTCTCAATTTATTGCCCCAACTCACTGCCAGTCAGTCCATTAGAACTCGTCCTGACACTGCAGGGCAGATAGGAACTTCTCTGTGGGGTTCTGGGGCGGTCAATCGTTACAGGAGCAGCTAGTCTTATCGTTCTCTTGCAGAGAAGCTGGGGGCTCGAACAGCCCACCTCGTGGTTAGCTGCCAGATGCATAACCCCCGAGGCCATCAGGACTCCTTGCTGACTGGACAGTGACTCATTTCTGGTCCCTATTGAAGATAACAAATTGGAACTGCCTGCTATTCAGTTCCTAGTAAAGGTGAAGTGATACTTGGGGGAACTTCCAAGTTCAGGTAATGTGCCCGGTTCAAACAGATCTCTGGATCAAAGGGCACCGTGTGAAGGATAACTTATCCTAAATCTTTAGTTCAACACAAACTCCTGAAGGAAAGCCGGCGTGCACTTCCTCGATCTCAGGTGCTACCGCGACGTTCAGACACCCGGAGTGTCTTGTTCGATGAGCAGGCAGTGAAAGGCGGTAGAAGGCTTATGTTCTAAATCTCAAAACTGAGAGCCGATAAGGGGACACTGCTGCTGCCATATTTGGAGCCGGCGGGTCAAAGACACCCAGAGATAAGTCTAGCCATGTGTGTGGGTAACACAATCCATTCAGCCAACAAGGGGAAGCGCTAGCTGGGGGCCGGGACCCCACCCTACATAAGGCTCAGCTGGGCCCCCTCCTCTCCCCAGTGTGTGTGCTGGGTAGGGCCCCCAGCACCTGGACAGAGCCTGCTGACTCGCGAGATGCACACACATGTGCCCTGGGCAGAGGCTGCCTGCTGCAGCCAGGGCAGGGCACACCCAGAGCAGGACCCTGAAAGGTGCTATGGTAGGATGACCGGATGGGTGGAGGGAGGGGGCGGGAGGAGCAGAATTAAAAGAAGAGAAGGAGAGACCAGGGAAGGTGGCGGGCGATGGGCCAGGGTGGCAGCAGTGGGTGGAGAGCAGAGGGTGGGGACATTAGGATGGGTGGGAGAGGGACCAGAACCCCTCACCTGGGATTTGGGCTGGATGAGGGATGCTTGGGACAGCGCCCTGTGAGTGGGAACCAAGCGACCCAAGTGGCCCAGGACACTCACCGCTGGTTTATATGGAAGTAGGCCTCAAGGGACCATCATGTGACCCAGGTGAGTTATTCTGACTCCCCACATGTGAGCCAGGAGCCCACAAGGGAACAAGTGAGCTGGCAGCACAGAGCTAACGCTCAGCAAATGAAGGTGAGAGTGAGCTGGCCTGTCCCAGGTGACCCAGTGGATTGGTGTCAGAATAAAGCCCATCCAGGTGCCTCCAACAGCCCTGGCAGGGCCCCCACCCCTGTCTAATACACATGCACACACCCATATGCCCGCCAAACACACAGGCAGGCGCCCATAGGCGCCCTCGCACACGTGCCCCGCGCCTTTCCCTGCAGACTCTCACCCAGCGGTGGTCCATGGGTGATTAAGATGTCCACGCCTTCAGGAATGAGGTTCCACTTCTCCAGCAGCGCTTGGCCTCTCGGGAGGTTAAAGCCCCAGCCATAAAACCAGGGCTGCCTGCAGACAAAGCGGGCCGGTCAGAGAGCCGCTGGGACGCCGGCCAGAGGGCAGGGAGGGCAGGAAGGGGCAGCAGCCTCACGGCTACGCCAGTGACCTCCGCCCAGGTTTAGCTCAGGACACTGCGCCCCCTTTTTGTCTTGCTTACCCGTGGCTTCTGTTCTTCTAAGGTGAGCCAGGGGTCCTGATGGTGTCCGTGGCGCAAGTGAAACCCACGTCAGCCTCTCTGAGAAAACCCACGGGCCACTCCGCTCCCCATTAGCACATGTGCAACCCCACCCCGCGCCCGCCCGCCCAGACACTGAGGACCCCTCTTCGTCCCATTCCAAAAGTGAGGAAGCCGAGGCTCTGAGAGGGGAAGTGGATCAGAGATTCGATCCGGTCTGCAGACTCCCAGGACGGCCACACCACCACCACCCCGTATGTGCGTCAGGGTGCACCTGGCCACTCCTCCCCGCAGCCTCTCACATACACGGAGCTGCTACTTAAATCCCTCCTGTGGTCCACGTACATTCTGTGGGACAGGGATCCCCCAGGTTTTTGACTCATCGGTTCTTCTCTCCAGTCAATGTACCTTCTTCGAAGCTTGGCGGTCCTGTAGCAACCCTCAGTCCTCCCTCCCCAGGTTCAGGACGGAGAGGGGCAGGCTACTGAGGATCAGCAACGTCACATTCGAAGCCTGACCTCGTGCGCTCTCTCCACATGCTGCAGCCTGGGGTGGGCCCCTCCTGGGATTGGGACAGGGGCCCACGGAGGAGGCCAGTGGAGGATCATGACCGCATGGACGCAGGGGACAAAGGTCTCACTGTTTCAGACCCACACGCTCTCCTCCACCGCCAGCCTTGCCCATGCCGTGACTCCTGCCCAGAACAAGGTCTCCCTCCTCTTCTCCTGCCCCCAGCCCCACGCTCCGTCCACAGCTCCACGCGAAAGTTCCTATTCTCAAGCTAGACACCAGGGAGCAAATAAATGTGGGCGTCCGGTACGGTCCAACGTGGAGATCAAAGACGAGCGGATGGCAAACAGGTCTTTCCCTGCTGCCCCGGGATTGCAGCTAAAGCTGAGCACAACCCTCGCTGACATTGGCAAGAAACACCCCGGGTGGCCCCCCAAAAGAACTTAGCAAAAGTAGGCAGTACTTTCTAACCACCGTCGCCCCAATCCCACCAGCTAGGTTCCTGACATCAAGGAACTAGCTGTGGCAACCCCTCGTTCTTGGGGGATGGGGAAGGAGGAGTCCCATCAGTGGGCTCCAGGAGAAGGGGACCTGGCCCTCTCTCCCCAGCAGTGGACACGGGAGTCTGCCCTCGGGGTCTGTGAGAGGAGAACGGAAGGGCAGGAGGGGCAGAGGCCAGAGGACGGGCTGTCTCCTTGCCAAGTGTGGGCTGTCCTTAGGGGTCCTCATACCCAGCTGATTCCCAAGAAGCAGGGAGACCAGGAAGCCAGGTGGCAAAGGCAGGGGGAGGGTGGCTAGGTGGGTGGCCCAGGGAGCACGGGCAGTCCCGCCAGAGTGTACCCCCAACCTCAGACACATCCACAGAGGTCTGCCCATGAGAGTTTGCGAAAGCAGAGGGTTCTCTCTGCCCCTCTCCCCAAAACATGTGCCACACAGGGGTTGTGCTCCACGTCAAGGGAGCCTTGGGGCCAGGGGGGCCTGATTTGGTATGGCTCCACTTCTGACTGTCTGTGTGACCTGGGACTGAACTCTCGATGCCTCAATTCTCTCTTCTGTAAAATGGGGGATGATAAAGCTGTTAAGAGGATTCCATCAGCTAACCACGTAAACTACTTAAAACCACGTCTGACTCACAGCAAGTACTCAGTGAGCTCCAGTTTCCATCATCATCCTCAGAACTATTCCCACCACAATCATTGTCACCGCCATCTTCACTGTCAATATCATCATCAATACCATCACCAACATCCTCCCCAACATGCCAGCCCCACTACCATCACCACCACCATCATTAATAGCATCATCAGCATCACTACCGCTTCCTCGCCACCAACCCCATGACTACTACCCTCATCACTACCACTGTCATTAGTGTCACCACCATCACCACCAACAACCTCACTACCATCATCACCACCACCATCACCGCCACCAAAACTGATATCATCAACATCATCATCAATATCAACATCACCACCACCATCTTCACCACCATCCTCATCACCACTACCATCACCACCATCACCACCAACATCCTCACTACCATCATCACCGCCACCAAAATTGATATCATCAACATCATCACCATCATCAATATCAACATCACCACCACCGTCTTCACCACCATCCCCATCACCACTACCATCATCACCACCATCATGCCCTGATCGGGGCCACCATCATTATCATACCCCCTCTTGGAACCCACTCATTGGGTCTGGATGAAGAACTTTGGCCTAGAGCAGGGCTTTTCCAACAAGACATTTTAAAGACAAAGGAGTAGAAACCACCAGAGCCCGGCATGATAGGAAAAGAAGGCTTCTGCTAAATACAGTTCGTTCAGTGGAGGCCCACAGGCGTGTGTACTGACACGCAACACACAATGTTTTTCTTGCATGGCTCCTAGCAGAAATGTGTCCGCCTCTGGCCCGGAGGGTCCACCCAGGGCTGCCCCAGTGCCAACAGGCAATGCTCTGAGCTCCAATTCCCACAGTCCCTTGGTCCCCAGGCACATGGAGGACCCATGGGGATGAGCAGGGGGCTGACTGCAGAGCAAAGCCTATGTCACCTACAGCCTGACCACTGGGGCAGCGCCCTGCCTGCACTGACCCCAGGGTCCAGTTTAGCTAACATTTCAGCAAAGATCTAAAGGTGGGACGAGGCCCCACCAGGACAGCGACAGGAGTGTGTTAGCTCAGAAGCACATCAGAGACCCCCGAGGACCTCCAAGCCCCTCACCTGTCCAGGGGCCACCTTCCCCCTCACCCAGCACTGAGGACTTCATTCAGGTAGGGTGACAGTTCCCTGTAGCTACACCCACCTGGCTGATTATGCACTGGGCTGGGAACCGGAAGGTCAGCGGTTGGAGACTTCCTGCAGCTCTGCAGGAGAAAGCCGGCCCTCACTGCCGCCGTAGAGCCACCGTCTCGGAGACTCACGGGGCAGTTCTACCCTGTCCTATGGGGTTCCTGGGCCGGCATCGACTCCATGGCAGTGAGTTTGGTTTCTTGAGTTTGGGTTCTTGGAAACACATGGCCTGAATCCTGGAAGGGTGGAACGCACCCCACCTCTGCTGAGGCCCAGAGAAGTTGCTCCACTTGCCAAGGCCACACAGTGCGTCCCTAGCAGAGCCAGGTCGAGAGCCAGGCATCGGGCAGTGGGTCCAGGACTGTGACACCTCCTTCCCTACGACCTTTGACTCCTCTCCCAGCACCCAGCCACCCAACTCAGGGGTCATCAGATCAATTTTCCCAGCTGCACGGGAGAGTGGGTCTTGTCTGCAGGTCTTGACAGCCACCAGAGCAGTAGAGGGAACGCTGCTCTGTCCCTCTGAGGGACGGAAAGGTATTGGACGTCTGCCCCTGCACTGGGCACTTCAATGAACCCAGCCTCGGCCTCTTCCCCTGTGAAATGGGCGCGCTGCCAGTGCCCCCAGCCCTTCCACCATGCGGGCAGGAAGCTCCTTCTTGTTGGCTGCAGTCCCACTGCCCGGCTTGGGGGGGGTGGGGGTGGTTAATGAGGGAGGGGCAAGCTGGATGAATGGTACTGTCCTCCTGGCATAGCTATGGCATCCATTCTGACCCAGTGACCCCACATGGCAAAGCCAAGCTGCCACGCTGGGTTCCTTGGCTGTAACCCTGGCCTCAGCAGTGGCCCGGCCTTTCTCCTGTGGGACAGCCGGTGGGTGGAGTCACCACCCTGCCAAGTGCCTAAGCAGTTGAGTGCTTAAATGTCGTGCCACCAGGTCTCCGGACACCCGGGAGTCTGAGGTGGGAGGCCGTGGTGCTCCAGCTTGTATGGGAATTTGCTGTTTGGGGTTGGGAAGAGCCCCATCCTGCCCGGAAGCGGGAAGAGCAAACACTTCCAGGTCAGCCTGCCGGGCCTGAGCAGGCAGGGGTTAGGAGCAGTGTGGACAGATGGACACTGCTCAGGGTGACCTCCTTCCCTGGAAGCCCGGGGCCAACCTATGGGGAGACACCTGGAGAGCCCCTGGCTGGAGAGTCAGGTGTTTACAACGAACAGGTCCTAGCTGCCAACAGGCAGGGTGTTAAGGGCAGACGCCGCCCCCACGCCCCATCCAGCCAGGACTGCAGAACGGGCAAACCACTGGGGCCAGAGGTCCTACCCCCGTGGGGAGGAGCCTGAAGTCCAAGGTGGCCTGCCGTCCAGCAGTGCTTCATAGGGGCAGGTGGGATGCCCCACCCAGCCCAGTCCACTGGCTGTGAGGTCAGAAGATGCTGGGGGGCGGTGGGGGTGGGGGGGGCCGAGGAAGCTGGTACCAGTTCCCACAGCAACGCAGCACCTGGGGAAGGTCCACCTGGCCCCTGCCCAAGTGTCCGGGCCAGTGTGGGGGCAGAGGGCCCTCCGGGGAAGGCGCTGCTTCCGAATCCAGGCTCAGCCGCAGGAGGGGCTCCGTGTCCCCAGTCCCTGTCTTTCTGCTCCAAAGTAACCCTCGGAATAATTTTCTTACAGAATGATCGTTGCCATGACAACGGAGCAAATTTTCCTTTTCTGAAACAGATGTCTCATTTAGTTGAAAATTAGAATGTGAACAAACCCATGGGAAAAATTAATTCAAACTTTAACAGAGCACTGAATACAATGTAATCTCTTGGAGGTTAACCCCTTAACAGCTTCTCGGTGCGTTCCCCGTAACCTCAGCTCCCGGCTAATTAAGCCCGCTTAGCCAATATCAATGACCTCCTGGTGGCCGCTCATTACCGGAGCGTGAATTCGGGATCCTGAACAGCAGCCGTGGGGCAGGGGAGTCTCTCCTGCAAAAGATGACTGAGCAGAGCCACCTCACTGGGCTGTCTCAGCTTCC